TCCCAATCTTGCACTACCGCAAGCTCTGCCCAAGGGAGTCTGCAAGCAATTTTTGGCAAAGCGAGTCCAGATTAACCTCCTCATATCTAAATAAAATGCCTCCACTGAAATTCCATGTGATCTATGGATTGAGACATTGACATGCGGCTTTGGTTAGAAGTAGGCTGAAAAAAAAACCCTATTAATCAGCCAGGTGCAGTGGCTCACGCCTGTAATCCCAGCACTTTGGGAGGCCAAGGCGGGCAGATCACCTGAGGTCAGGAGTTCGAGACCAGGCTGACCGACATGGAGAAACCCCATGTCTACTAAAAATACAAAAGTTGACCCAGTGCAGTGGTGTGTGCCTACAGTTCCAGCTACCCAGGAGGCTGAGGCAGAAAAATTGCTTGAATCCAGGAAGCGGAGGACACAGTGAGCTGAGATTGCGCCATTGCACTCCAGCCTGGGCAACAAGAGTGAAACTCCGTCACACACACAAAAAGGGAAAAACCCTAGTAATCAAAATTGTCCTAAAAAAATACAATAAAGGAATAAAACAACTCCAAAAAGCAGAGCTGTAAATCTACCAATCTGTCTTCTGGGCTGATTTAAGCATGTGTATTATCCACCAGCTGTGTGTTAAACAGTATAAAGGAGACATTATGATGAGTATTTATTTTTTCCCACTTTTCTTTTGCAGAGTTAGGTCACTGAAGATTTTTGAGTAGACTTCTTTTATGAGAGGTATTAACATTCTTTTATTGCTATAGATTCAGATATTGTTATTGATAAAGTTTTTTATTTGGGTAAACATGCAACTAGAAAACTAGAAACCTGGAAGAAAATTTAAGATGCAATATTTGAAAATGGAAACAAAAGAACAGGAATCAGCCAGGCACGGTGGCTCATACCTGTAATCCCAGCACTTTGGGAGGCCGAGGTGGGCAGATCACGAGGCCAAGAGATCAAGACCATCCTGGCCAACATGATAAAAACCCCATCTCTACTAAAAATACGAAAATTAGCTGGGTATGGTGGTGCACACCTGTAGTCCCAGTTACTCAGGATGCTGAGGCAGAAGAATTGCTTGAACCCAGGAGGCGGAGGTTGCGGTGAGCCAAGATCGCACCACTGCACTCCAACACAGGCAACAGAGGAAAAACACACACATACACAAACAGGAATCCTGTGTAAACATTTCTGAATTAATCTTTTAGTCATTCAAATTATTCTTTAAGAAAGCAGCATTTCTGTACATAGCTTAGCTGTAAATCTGAATGGAACAGTTATCTTAGGAAACTGACAGTAATGAAATGCTGCTACAAAGGCACATAGGTGTAGCTGCACTTAAGTCAAAGGTGGGACTACATTGCGCCACAGAAATTACATACGATGAGAAACTGCAAAGTGTCAAAAGACGTTGCCCCCAAATGTTCCACTGTCATAGTTCCAGTGCTTTACTGCATAGAAACCTAAAAGAGTATCAAAGTATGACACATTTTATTTATTTATATTTATTTATTGTGACTGAGTCTCTCTCTGTCGCCCAGGCTGGAGTGCAGTGGCATGATCTCAGCTCACTGCAACCTCTGCCTCCCGGGTTCAAGCAATTCTCCTGTCTCTGCCTCCCAAGTAGCTGGAATTATAGACATGCACCACCTTGCCTGGGCTGATTTTTGTATTTTTAGTAGAGACGGGTTGGCCAGGCTGGTCTCGAACTTCTGATCTCAGGTGATCCACCTGCTTTGGCCTCCCAAAGTGCTGGGATTACAGGCGTGAGTCACCTTGCCCGGCTGCATTTCAGTTTTTTAAATTGCCTTACTGCAGCGCTGTCCTGTACAACATACGGTGGTGAAGGAAAGGTTCTGCATCGACACCGTCCAATGTGGGCGCTGTTGGGGTGCTAATGTGTGCCCACAGAGATAATGTTGCCTGTGAATGTGACTTTATTTGGAATTAGGGTCTTTGCAGATGTATTGAGGTCATGCTGGATTACGGTGGACTCTAAATCCAGTATGACTGGTGTCCTTAAAAGATGAGATGGTGACACAGAAGCCCAGGCGGGGGAGATGGCCATGGGAACACGAAGGCAGTAATTGGGAGTGAGGCATCTCTAAGTGAGGAACATCAAGGTCTGCCGGCAGCCAGCAGTGGCCAGAGCGAGGCGAGCATGGTTGTGCTGACATGCTAATTTCAGACTTCTAGTCCCCAGAACTGAGAGAGAATCCGTTCCTGTTGTTTTAAACCACATAGGTTGTGGTGAATTTGATACCTAAAGTCTTATTTTGAATCCCTTTGGGTTAAAAAACTCTATTCCCTAATTTATCTTGTGAGAATCCAGCCTTTTTGCTTAAAATGAGATTTCTTTTACTTTCTGAGAAAGGAATCCACCATACTTTGATTTAGATAACCACATGGTCTGAAACTCCATTTAGTGAAAATTAAATTTTGTGATTCATAATGCCAATGTTTTGCCTCTGTTTTCTACATATTCACAGCAGGTGAAATGTGTTCAGGAATTTAAAAGATGAAAACATGCGTCTTTTAAATAATGACCACCAAGAGCCACTGCAGATACAAACAGCTTTATTTTTTCCATTCAAGCTTTATCAAATGGCTTGTTCAAAAAGCATGTACAAAAGCAAAAAATACCACATGCAATCAGACTTGCTTTGCCTTATAGTCACTGGTTTCCTTTTAGAAAAGAATGTGCACTTGAATAACTTCTAATCCAAACACTTTCCAACCGTTTCTACTTCCTTTCAAGTTAGCAATGACAGATACATTTTAGTTAACTGCTCATCATACTCCTTCTCATCTTTATTCATATTCAAATAATATAAAGCCTATAAAATCAAACCATATACTGTTCAGAAATCTGAAAAGCTTCTTTTACATAATAGATTCTGACATGTTAAGAAACTACACACAACAAATATTTACAAAATGAACGGAAAATAGGATAAAGCTATTTAAAAGTGAACATAGTAATATTTCTTATCTAAATAATTTTAATCAAATGAACAATATATTTCTCTGATAGTTTCTATCTTTTAGAATACAAAAAAGTGCTCAGATTATATTTAAAAAAATAACAAAAATCTCTTAGAACAGAAATAATTTAAATAAAGATGGTAGCATGGGGAATCAAAATTACACCTTTGATCCCAAAACAGGAAGGTAGGTGTGAATGTATTTGAAATCAGAAGGGGACACAATACTAAGATTGCAAATGCAAAGCTTCCTGCATTAGAAAGATAGAAACTGTCTTTGCAAAGTTCTTGTGTCTCTCTATGAAAGCCTGAACATGAAATCGGATCTCTCAGCTAGACTGCTTGTCAAGTAACAAGGCCGGGTCACTTTCCTTGACTGTGCTTTTTTAGCCCACTATCAATATTCACTCAGCTGGGGCTCAAAAGGACAAATAGGTGTCCTTTTAAGACACTTTGACTACTAGGATCGATACACTGCTCTCAAACAAACAAACAAACATAATGCGTGAATACAGCAGCCAAGAAGAAGGGTCTCCACTGGAGCCAACCTACAATGCCACCCTCAGGGAAAGCACAATGATTTACAGACAGGAATCATTTTCCTCTAGAAATGAATTCTGCCGGAAGAAACCAGAGTTGGGCTAAGATGTTGGAGTCAAGTTTTCTCTTCATTTGATATGCAAGAGTTGTTATCTTTATGAATACCATTTTACATGCTAATCACAAAGACAAAAGGAGGAAAAACGCAGCTGGTGACATCAACTTGGACATCCAAATGCTAAGGGGGCTAAGTACGGGCCCTACCCTGCTTATTTTAATGATGCTGAGATTGCTTACCACATTTCTGAAGCCTTATTTTGAAATTTATTTTACGTATTACATAGGTATGTGTGTACACATACATAACAGTTCTTTTCTTCTTCTGAGTATAATTGGGTTTTAGATTATTTTTACTTTTTATTTATACTTTTTCTTAATGTTCTAACTGCTTACACTGAGTATCACTTTTGTTATAAAATAATCATAAAATGAAGCTCTTTTCATTTTAGAGGAAAAAAGAAAAAAAAGCTCTACAGATTCTGAAGGCAGTTCCAAGTAAGAGTCTCTCAAAGGCTCTTAAAAGACTATTTTGCAGGTCAAAATCCCAGAAAAACGTAAAATCTTGTGGTCAGAGAAAATGGCTTTGCTCACTGCTGTAGCTCAGTTAGCAAAGTACTCGGCACCCGGCAGCTGTGACATACACACTCTGAACGAAGAAATACGGCTGACAAGGAGGTTGAGTTTCCAGAGATTTCATTCTTAAAATCACTGTCATATGATCCTTTTTATTCTAGTTAACTGAGGATTTTCTAATGTTCGGTCGATATTCAGTACATTTTAGAGGAAAGTTTAAAATCAGCAGTGGGAATCACACTACTGTGTTTTATAATGTGGCTTTTAAAAAAGGAGGAATCAAAACAGAAAAATGGGCAAAATGGGGACGAAAAAGGGCCTGCTGGCCAAACAGCTAGAAGCAGAAGAGGGGATCAGCGGACGAAGAGGGCACAAGGAAATAACCCTCCCCGTCCTTCGTCCTGTTTCCCACACAGTTCGACTATAGGTAAGAATGGACATGTCCGATTCTTCTCCTGTACCCAGCACAGTGCCTGCCACCTCAGAAGGTGGGCAAAGGACTCAACAAAAGAGAGAGGGAAGGAAGGAGCTGGCTTCTGCTCTGAGTTACTAGGGTAGTAGAAGCGACCCTGACTCTGACTCTCAAATCAAAGGGCAAGAAAAGGGTTGTTCTAGCTCTTGTCCTGGAACAGAGGTCAGAATGATTCCTTCTTAAATGTGATTTGTGGCATAACTATGAAAGTAATCACATATTAACTAATTTCCACTAATAACCAAAGACAAATGTCCTGAGTTGCAAGATAAAAAATCAGTGCCTATTTCCTTTGGATGAGGCTTAGATCAAGACAGAAACCAACATTTTTCTTTAAATAATTCAATTTCTTACATTTTTAGAGATAAAGCAAATAATGTAGCTAGAGCAATTCGGTATTTTATTGTCCCAAGTGGGGGTTTTTTAGAGTAAAAGGGAGTACTACATTCTAGGGGGAAAAAACCATGCCAAGGCAACTGACATGAACAGGACTGTCCTGAACAAATGACACCGATGTTAACACAAGATCATTTTTAATGTTTTATTTTCAAGTTCTCTATTAAACTACATAACATTTGGCAGCAATTTAATATTGAACACTGAATAACAGCACACAGTTCTGTTCTTGAGAAGACATATTTTCTAAGTGATGAAATGAACTTTCCACCTTCCCCATCCTTAAGGTTTCCTAGCATAAGCTAATGTTTGAAATGCGCCTTAGGAAACAGTCTGTTTTAATTTCTCTAACAGAACCAAAACAACACACAACTGTGATTCAGTTACTTAGATTCACTTCTTCGTTTTACAAAATATAAACAGGAGATTTTGAACATATCTTGCTCTAGAACGAAACCTCCAAAATGATAAACCCCAGTTATGGGGGCTAGGTCACAACACAGTTTTAAAATCTTTATATTAACCATGAGATTCTCACAGATACATTGCCACAAAATATTTTTTAAAAGCCATAGATAGTCAAAATAAAAAATGTCTCATTTGTGGGTGGTGACAGTTATTTCCCCACAGGTACTGAATATATATCCAGGCACAAATCACCAGCACAACACAGGAACTCCCCAGCAGAGGCGACAGGTCAGTTTCTGAACAGCAGCATCCGCTCAGAACACTTCTGCCCCACCAGGCTTGCATACTGCAGAACAGCGGCCTCCTCACTTGGGTCTTTCTGATGTTTCTTATAAACACGGTAAGGCATAATGGCTCTCTTGTGAAACACCTGCAATCGATCAGGTTCTGTACTGCGATCTTCATCCACTGCAATTACAAAAAATACTGATTTTTAAAACATCACATTTCAAACTTTCCATTTCCCTTGTACTTTTTTTTTTTTTTGAAACAGAGTCTTGCTCTGTCACCCAGGCTGGAGTGCAGTGGCGCCATCTCACCTCACTGCATCCTCCGCCTCTCAGGTTCAAGCGAGTCTCCTGCCTCAGCCTCCCAAGTAGCTGGGATTACAGGTGTGCGCCACCACACCCAGCTAATTTTTTAATTTTTAGTAGAGATGGGGTTTCACTATGTTGGCCAGGCTTGTCTCGAACTCCTGACCTCAAGCAATCCACCCGCCTTGGCCTCACAAAGTGCTGGGATCACAGGTGTGAGTCACTACTGCACCTAGTCTTTT